AAATAAATAAAATAAAGGTATTATCTCCATTTACAACTAAAAAAATTTTTTTTAAATTGACTTTTAGGGGGGATGGTGGAGGATGGGAAAGGCAGCGGAGCACAACAGACACTAGTATGGCAATATGTAAATCAATGGATGTGTAACTGATGTGATTCTGCAATCGTGTATGGGGTGAAGGTGGGAGTTCATAACACACTTGAATCAAAGTGTGGAATATGATATGTCAAGAAATTTGTAATGTTTTGAACAACCAACAATAAAAAATTAAAAAAAAATTGACTTTTAGATGAAATTGAACCTCTTTCTCTCATTGTGCTCGAAGTTCAACTCAAAATGGATCAAGACCTAGGAATTAAACCAGAGACCCTGCGCCTAATAGAAGAAAAATTAGGCCCAAATCTCCATCATGTCAGATTAGGCCTTGACTTTCTTAATAAGACTCCTATAGTGCAAGAATTAAAACCAAGAATTAATAAATGGGATGGATTCAAACTGAAAAGCTTCTTCTCAGCAAAAGAAACACGTGAATAGAGAGCCTACAGAATCGGAGCAAATTTTTACCACATGCACATCAGATAGAGCACTAATCTCTAGAATATAAAGCATTCAAAAATCTTAACACCAAATATACAAATAACCCAATCAATAAATTAGCCAAGGAACTGAACAGACACTTCTCAGAAGAGGATATACAACCAATCAACAAATATATGAAAAAAATTCAACATCTCTAGCAATTAGAGAAATGCAAATCAAAACTCCTCTAAGATTTCATCTCATTCCAGTCAGAATGGCAGCTATTAAGAATACAAACAAAGGCTGGGGTTGTGGCTCAGCGGTAGAATGTTCACCTATCACATGCAAGGCCCTGGGTTTGATCCTCAGCACCACATATAAATAAATAAATGAATTGTGTCCAACTAGAACTAAAAAATAAATATTAAAAAAAAGAATTCAAACAACAATAAGTGTTGGCGAGGATGTGGGGAAAAAGGCATACTCATACATTGCTGGTGGGACTGCAAATTGGTGCAGCCAAACTGGAAAGCAGTATGGAGATTCCTAGGAAAACTTGGAAAGGAACCATCATTTGACCCAGCTATCCCACTCCTCGGTGTATATCTAAAGAACTTAAAAACAGCACACTACATGGATATAGGCACATCAATGTTTATAGCAGCACAATTTACAATAGCTAAATTTTGGAACCAACCCAGATACCCTTCAGTAGATGAATGGGTAGGGAAACTGTGGTGTTTGTATATACATACATACACACACATACACACACACATACACACACACACACAATGGAATATTATTCAGCATTAAAAGAGAACAAAATCATGGCATTTACAGGTAAACGGACAGAGTTGGAGGATATTATGCTAAGTGAGGTAAGCCAATTCCCCAAAACCAAAGGTGGAATGTTTTCTTTGCTATGAGGATGCTGACTCTAGAGGGGATGGGGGCGGGGAGCATGGGAGAAATGGAGGAACTTTAGATAGGGCAAAGGGGAGGGAGGGGAAGAGAAGGGGCAAGGGGGTAGGAGAGGATGGTGGGATAAAATGGACATATATATGTAGACATGAATGGTGTGAATCTACTTTGTGTACAATCAGAGACTTGAAAAATAGTGCTCTATAGGTGTAATATGAATTGAATTGCATTCTGTTCTCATATATAACAAAGTAGAATAAATAAATAATTTAATTCAAAAATTGACTTTTAGTTTTCATGTAAGGCACCAAAACATGTAAAAAGATGAATATTGACATCATGATTTTCTTTTACAAACACTACTACATCTGTGTTCCCTATTATCCACTTTCACTGGTATCACTTCAGTGTATTTCTCCCAATCTTTAAAAATATATTTAGATGTTTGTGTATGTGCTCTTTGAATATGTTGGTAGTGTTTTGTGCCTTTTATTTAAAAAAGAAAACACATTAATTATTGATACAGTAGTTCTTATTTTCCTAAACTCGCCTGATTTATGACTCTCTTAGGATCTCAGTAATTATTTTGCAGTATTCATAGGTTAAGAAAATACATAAAAGTTCTATAATAATATTTAGGTCCAAATAGCTTAATAAGTATTTATGTGTTAACAACTTAATATCCATTAAATATATATAAATTGCAAGAAAATATTATTTTTCAGTTCATTCTAAAATAACCACAATCAATTAATAATGGGAGGTGTGGTGTGTGTGTCCCTGTTGGGCAGCCCTGGGATCCCTATTGGATGTTGCCATGTTCATTGCCTGTTCCATTCCTATTTTAGCTTGGTGCTTGATTTTTATCACAGCATGGGAAAAAAAAGATACCAAAAGGAATCTAGCACAATCGAATGTTGGAACTGTGAACTTCTTCGAGTTCATAGTTCCCAGGGTGCTAACAGACGCCTGGTATGACTATGTTCCCCTGGGGTGCCAACTGCGGCCATGGTTATAAATTTTGCAGTTCACTTTTTTTTCCCCCACAGTGTGCCTTAGAGATCTTTGTTACACTTGAAGATTTACCTCACCTAAAACACTGCAGAATCATCCAGAATACGAGTAGATCAGTTTGTTTATACATGTTCCTGTTGGCCATTAATGTTACTTTTAGTCTTTTGTAATTTTTTAGTGAAAAACCTTGCTATATGCCTCTTTGTTCACCTGGGTGACTTGGAGAATAAATGATTGCTGGGCCATATGCCAGACACGTTTTTGTTTTTGTTTGTTTTAAATTAAGCTTGGTCCTCTTTGAAAGAATGACTTTCCTATAGTCCTTTGAAATACGTATGATGGATATAGTAAGTCTATGGTGGCTTGGCAGACACAGCCAATCCATCATGGCTCTCATCTCTGAGCCTTCTACTGTATTGGAACCATCTTAACAGTCCTGGTGTGGGCACACAAAATGGAACTGACTTGTCATTCCTTGAGCCAGAGAGGAGTTGGAGAGACAGGCTGAAGTCAGGCAGAGAAGGCCTACAGAGTTCAAAAGATGTCAAACTAGGAGCATTCAGAAAACATTTATATTTCAGATATTATTGGTTAAGTGACTGATGATTGGTCTCTGTGAGAAAACAGCAGTGTATTGCTTTCTGGTTGCTGTTAATTGTTTCTTGCCTTAGTATAAAATATCCTATTTATTTCTAGCAAAGTAATTTAATCAAGGGAACTCTTTTATTATTCTCTTCCATGAAGTTTATATATTGAAAGATATGGTCTACCCATTAAATTGTACTTATTCAGTAAAAACAGTGTCAGCACCAAACAAGCACTTATTATTTTTACATCCCAAGCATTGTATCTTACACTTATTAGCTTTTTAAATCCTCACAGTAGCCCCATGAGTTTGGTACTATCACTTTTTCCATTTTATAGTAGTTGTGGTATTTGAGACACAGAGAGTTTAAACATTTTGCACAAGGTTACAGAGCTGGTAAGTGATGTAATGAATTAGTTGTCTACTGTTCAATTATAACTATGTGATTTCTGCTTAGAAGGAGATAATGAGGATTCTCAAAATGAGTCAATATAATTTTGACCAGAAGTAAGGAAACTTGCTGTGTAAGTTTGTCTGTGCGACATGGTTGGGGTAAATGTACTTTTTTGTTATTGTTGTTGTTAGACTTTCCAGTACGTTGAAACAGTGAGGAATCTCATTATTGTTTTGAAGACTAAAGAGATCTGACACCGTAAATTAGAAACTACTGATTTGGTTAATTAATTTTTCAGTTTCAGAGAAAACAGGGAAAGTTCATCAAAGAGAATAAATGCGTTGTGGTGCAAACTGATCAGGTGGGAGGGCACAGACTGAGAGGTTAGGAGCTACTCTCTGCAATCCCACTGCACAGCTGGCTGCTCCACCACTTATTATCAGGTGACCTCAGGCAAGTTGTTTAACATCATGAGCCCCAGATTTCTCATTGACAAATGAAGTGGCTGTGAGGACTAAATAGGACAGCACATGGGAAGTCTTGATGAGCACCAGGCACTTAGTATGCGCTCAACAAAGGCAAGCTTTTTATTGAACTTTATGGGTATGCATTGACATCCCACAGTAAGGATAATATGGAACCCTGCAGTTACTAGGTGACACAAAGGAGATAGAGTGAGGTGTAACAGATGGTAAGTTTTTTTTTTCTCTTCTTTCCTCTCTAACATCAAGCAGGCAGGGTGCCCCATGAGGGAGGACTCCCTGACCTCATGATGGATTCCCCAGGGTATCCTTTTTATCATCTTTATAAACTGTATGCATAGATGACTCTTCCTGACATTCCCTGAACAGGTTCAGGAACATCATGTTTAGTGATCTCAAAAGCTGCCTGGCTCTCAGCATGTTGAAATGACCTTTGTATATGGCATGGGGTGAGCTGGCCACTGGGACCGTTTGGTGTCTTCTTCAAATAAAATGCCCAGCCGTGACATGATTCTGAACTATTCAGGTCTTGGCTTCTTTGTTTTGTGGTAAAACTGATTTTTTCCTTAATATGACCTCAGGCCTCTGAAAATAAGATTTTAAAAGTCATTTGTTCTCCGCTACTGTAAAGAAAAATATCGTCTCCGTGTGAGATGGGGCTCATCCTGACTTGGCTCAATATCCATCTTAGACGAGGCTGTTCTGGAAGAGGAGCTGGGTGCTGATGCTATCCAAACTGTGACTCTGAGGTCATGGATGTCAAATGCTCCAAATCTTTAGCCATCTGTGGTTTTCCCAGAATTGCTCAGGAGTCAACTAGAGTTGCTAGAACATCCCACTTAAGTGCATATCTCTCCTTTATCCTTCTAGCAACTGTATGATTCAGATATTACTCAGAAACTGTTGACCTTCTAATTTATACCATTGTCTGTGTTATTATTATTGTTGAGTTGTTTGTGTTGGTCTTTAGAGGGTGGAACATTGAAGAATATCTATGGAATCAAGGTGGTACCTTGGAATTCTTTTTAGTTGTTAAGTAAACAAATTGACCCACAATCTGTTTTATTTTTTCTCTCCCTAGCACTGGCTTGAACCTAACAAGTCTATCTCCAAGCAAATGAAATGTAAGTGTCAATCTGGGGTTTTACTTTTGCTATGAAATATCCAAAGATAGATTCTGTTTCTTGACAAAGTTTCTCCTGCCAGGAGAAAAATGGGTAGAATTGAAGATATTGGGTGAGCAGGGGCTTCTCTCTCCCAGTGAAGGCTGGGTATCCTCTTCCCCATTTTCTGGACCTTGGCACCCCCTGCAGTCTCTAGCCCTGTTGTCCTCTGTGCCTCTTCTCCCTGCCATCTTGCCCTCACATTTCATATTCACACAGGAGCTTTGGAACTGGATGGATAACTATCCCTTAAACATAATCACCAGGAACCCTGGTTCCTTTTCATTGTGGGTGTGGCTAGTAAATGGTTCAGGGTGTGGGGGTGCAGTCTGGAGGGGGATGGAAGAAGTGGGTGTGTTAGGAAACTAAAATCTTACCAATAACTTTACTAAATTTTATTATTAGATTTTACTCCTCCAGCTCCCCAAATGAAGTAAAATATGTTTTTCTTGGTAATTGTCTTAAAGTTCTGGTGTTCTGAACACACCCTCTCTCTAGAGTCCTTGGTCATCCACCAGGAATGTTGTGAAGAAGGCATTGACAGGTAGTCCTGGGAGATGTGGGTTTTTTTTTGTTGTTGTAGTCATATGCACCAGACTATAGCCAACCTGCTTTTATTTATGGTTTGGAGGAAAAGTTCTGAAATGCACCTCAGAAATTCATTGCCTTCCCCCAAATCCATTTATCCCTCTCTATGTCAATTTTCCCAGGACTCTGCAATGTAGGTGATAAATCAGTTTTTCACCGGAGATCAGATTAGTATATATCATATCGTCCATCATCATTCAAGGGGTTCTTTTCTTTCTCAAATATGATATTATTCTGGGAAGGGTTTTCAGGTGGGAGAAGGAAGAGACTGAACATGCAAGGGCTTAAAACTAGCAACCAACATATGTATTCCTTAACCTTCTTCTTTTATCCTTCCTTCTTGTCCCTCACCTGCCTCCCCCGATTCTTTGAGAACAAATTCTGTCTGGCCAGTGCAAAGAAGGGTTTATTGAGATGAGAACAGATGCAGATGCAGGTGTAGGAAGTCCAGGGAGGCTAGGCTGTTGGGTGAGGCTGGAACAGTGTTGGGACAAGGCTGAAACAGAGTTGGGGCATGCATCCCCATAAAGATAGAAAGAGCCCAGGAGACCTCATACAGTATGCTATGCAGGAAAATGAGAACTGATGCTTGAGAAAAAAGTAGTTGATACCTAGCTTTTGTTCCTTAGCTTCCAAAAGTTTATATTTTTATTTATATATTTAAAAACATTTCAGCTAAGTTTCCAGATTATTAGTTAAGATTACTTTATTAATTAAGTAGTCTTAATTAATATTAAATGTTTCTTTGACTTTGGTTCTTAAATGTCATGGATTCTTTTTTCCCATGGACCATAGAAATTTTTGAAATATAATTTATTTTTTAATGTAGTTCAACATGTAATAGAAGGAAAAATTAAAAATTGTAAAATATTTAAACTTGTGAGGATTTTGCTGCTTTAAGAGCTTTGTCTCCACAGTTAAGCAACAGCTGACTGAAAGTATGTGATGTTTTATAGAAAAGGTTTAAAGTTTGGCATTTGACCACTGGCCAATTTCAATCTGATGACAAATGGGATCTGAGTCTGGAAATAAGAATAGTGTAAAAGTCAATTTCCAAACCAGATCAGGTGACTCACAGATTCCAGGAACTAACAAGGGTCTTACCCATCACCCAGTGCCCTGTTGTGTTGCAAAGTACACTAATGAACCAAAAAAAAAATATGATTTTTTTCAAGATCACAAACCTAGTTTTGTTGTGGTTGATGATGATATCTTTTAGCATTAAGAATCTGTGTTCTGGAGCTATTAACTTTAATGTAAATTGGGAAAAATTTAAAACTGGAGCTTATACATTGTGAACCTAGAAAAGCTGAGTCCAACTCATCCATGAGTTGCAGAGCCCCAGGAAGTGTCTTACTAAGGTAGGGACATGCCTGTTATGTTCCTGTTGCTTTTTATTAGGCTATGCTTATGTTATTCCTTGAAGAAATTTTTTTCACATTCCCATCTGACTCACACAGGGAAGTGGACATTCAGGTTCTTTGTTCTGATCCTTTCTTTTTTTTTTTTTTTTTTTTGAGGTGGGGGCATCAAACCCAGCTCATTACACATGCAAAGCACACATTCTACCACTAAATGATATCCCCATCTCTGCTCTGATCCTTTTAAGAGCTTCCCATTATGGGTTTTCCTAGAAATGATGTTTCCCAGGGTTGGCTGAAGGTCAGCTGTCCTGATTAACAAACCCTTTTACAAAGGCTTTATTGTTTCTTAGTAGTTTTAAAAACAATATCATGTTGGTGGTTTTTCAAACAGTTCAGAAAGGTTTAAAAAGAAGACCAAATCTATTTCCTTTCTTCTCTTCCTTATATACCCAAGCCCACCCAGAAAGATAACTATTAACACTATATTTAAAAATTTTAAATGAGCATATACTAATTGTACATATTTATGGGCTACAGTGTGATACAATTGCAATATGATCAGATCAGGGTAATTAACAATATTTTGCATGTCCTTCCAGGAATGTCTTGGTATGTATACATTCTCCCATCATATATAAGGCCTGTTGTAGATAGCAATGCGATTGACCTCTTTATATTGTTTTTCCCTTTTTTATTTTTTAATAATTAGTTTTGGAGATTTTGCAATATCTGTGGTTGAGGACTGATATTACTTTAAAACTGATTTTCTGATTAATTGTATGCATGTATATAATTTACTTATTTTGGAAATAGAGATTGTTTCTAGGATCTTGCTATTACAAATCATACTGCAGTAAACATGCTTGTATACATTCTTGCTTCTTGTAAAAGTACATCTGTACTACAGATTCCTAGAAGTTCAAGAGACATACACACTTTACATTTTTAGTGTTAAAATTCCATTCAAGGAACTTGTAGCAGTTTATTTTCACTAATGTTGTATGAGAATGCTTGTTTCCTCTAAATCTTATTGAAATGGATATAATTAAGTTTACTTTTATGATGATATAAAATTTATAAAGGAAGAGAAATATTTATTTAATTAAAATCTAATTAATTAGATGGTTAGTTAATCAGGTATAAATTTTTTTTATTGGTTGTTCAAAACATTATAAAGCTCTTGACATATCATATTTCATACATTAGATTCGAGTTGGTTATGAACTCCCAATTTTACCCCAAATACAGATTGCAGAATCACATCGGTTACACATCCACATTTTTACATAATGCCCTATTAGTAACTGTTGTATTCTGCTACCTTTCCTATCCTCTACTATCCCCCCTCCCTCCCCTCCCATCTTCTCTCTCTACCCCATCCACTGTAATTCATTTCTCTCCTTGTTTATTTCCCATTCCCCTCACAACCTCTTATATGTAATTTTGTATAACAATGAGGGTCTCCCTCCATTACCATGCAATTTCCCTTTTCTCTCCCTTTCCCTCCCACCTCATGTATCTGTTTAATGTTAATCTTTTCTTCCTGCTCTTCCTCCCTGCTCTGTTCTTAGTTGCTCTCATTATATCAAAGAAGACATTTGGTATTTGTTTTTTAGGGATTGGCTAGCTTCACTAAGCATAATCTGCTCTAGTGCCATCCATTTCCCTGCAAATTCCATGATTTTGTCATTTTTTAGTGCTGCGTAATGGGTATAAATTTTTAAATTGGGATACTTGTTAAATCAAAGTCTTATTTCTCCTTTGAATTTAGGAGAGACACTAAATTTTATTTTTTAAATTAACATTTGGTAAAATTGACTTTATTTTGGTGCAGAGTCCTATGAACTTTAACACATCAGTACAATTTTATGACCAGTACTATAGCTGGAAAAGAATAGTTTCGTCACCCCAAAACTTCTCTGTAGTTAATCCCCGAGAGACTGATAATCACTGATCTGTTCCATGACAGTAGGCTTGTCTTCTGAGAATCATACAGCTTGTAAGTTTTGAGAATGATTTTTTAAACTGGGCATAATAATATTCACTCAAGTTGTTGTGTCTCTTAATATGCAATACAGAAAATTAATGAAAATAAAAGTTAGTCCTTGAAGAGATCAGGAAAAATTATTCAGCCTCTAGGAAGACTGAGGGAAAGAAGAAAAGAGAAGGTACAAATTTCCAATGTCAGGAATGAAAAGGAGATATCACTACAGACCCCACAGAATAATTCTAGGCATGTAAACCTGAGAGCTTAGATGAAATACATTAATTCTTCAAAAAGCAAGAATTACTAAAACTCATCCAATATGAAATATGTAACTTGAATAGTTTCATAGCTATTAAGGAAGTTAGGTTTAAAAACTTTGAATTCCCTCACTGTTGCTAGTGTTGCTGCCAGAATTCCCTGTCCTGCTCCTTAAGTTGTAACCAGAAATTTTTCCTGGAATTTTCTCTGTTAGAGCTGATGCTAACTTCTCAGGTCCTGACCAGAGGATGCCAGGGGAAAAAATATGGACTCATTGCGGTTCAGTGGCCTTCTGAATTCTCATGTCTGCCTGCTATTGTTTGTTTTTCAGTTCTTAAGTAGTTGCTGCATGTATTCTGCCCAGATTTTAGAGTAGTATTCCATTATATCCAGAGTAGATTCGTTCATCCTACCTGGAGTTGGAACCTTAAAGTCAAACTTTTTATTATCCCTTGTCTATCAGGTCAACATGCAGATAGCCTGCATAATTTGTCTGGGCAGTGTTGAGAAAAATATCGTCTTCATTTTTCTATGCCACAGCATGTCTATAGGTACAAATACGAACCAGGTTGATTCTTTTCTTGTTTTTCATGAGTATTCAGATAACAGGTACTTTGCAAATAAAGTATCAACAGCAGCAGCACATTTTGAATGTCTTGTTTTCAGAGTTCTTGCTTTTCATGAAGGAATATTGCTATGCAACATTAACAGTGATTATTTTCATTTTTACATGTGGCTTTCAGCCTTGATTCTGTAACAGTGTA